CCCAGAACCAGCCCCATTGACCCTGCAAGGCCTAGAACCAGGCCATTGACCCTGCAAGACCTAGAACCAGCCCCATTGACCCTGCAAGGCATAGAACCAGGCCATTGACCCTGCAAGGCCTAGAACCAGGCCCATTGACTCCGCAAGACCTAGAACCAGCCCCATTGACTCTGCAAGACCTAGAACCAGGTCCATTGACCCTGCAAGACCTAGAACCAGCCCCATTGACCCTGCAAGGCCTAGAACCAGCCCCATTGACCCTGCAAGGCCTAGAACCAGCCCCATTGACCCTGCAAGGCCTAGAACCAGCCCCATTGACCCTGCAAGGCCTAGAACCAGCCCCATTGACCCTGCAAGACCTTGAACCAGCCCCATTGAGCCTGCAAGGCCTAGAACCAGTCCCATTGACCCTGCAAGGCCTAGAACCAGCCCCATTGAGCCTGCAAGGCCATTGACCCCTGTGTCATGCCCCGCACTGCCTTGCTGAGAGCCATTCTCCCTGATACAGTAGTTGCCAGGTTACCTCCTAGACACCAGGCCATAATAATAAGGAACATGTCTACTGTTCTCAGGATTCCAGTCCCTTTTAAAGTTCTTATATGACCCACAGCTGGGCCTGTCACTGGCATGTTTCAACACATCCACCAAAACACCTGTCAAAAGTTTCCAGAACTAACAGAAATGTTGACTAGTATAAAGATGTCTGTCGTTTTCTTAATCACTCCAGGCCACAGAACATTGGCTCCCAGCAGTAGCACCCTGGAGCTGAGCCTGGCAAAGCACTTAGCTGTAGGAGGTTTCAAGTGGCCTGGGAGTCCCAGCTGGCTCAGTTATTCCTGGGCAGTCAGGTCACAGTTAAGTAGCAAGATAGCTTTTCTCTGAAAGGAATCATTCAGTCATAAAAGTATGAACTCAGGGTTAAGGCTGCTTTCATTTAGAGAGGAGGATGTCAAGGGCAGGAATGGGTAGGTTTTTGAAAAACAACAACAACAAACAGAGATTGCCTAGAAATGCATAGATTGATTTTCAAAAGATACTTAGTACTCTCAAAGCTATAATTGCAAAGACCATTCACCTTTAAAGATATGGAAGATAGTACCACAATTTAAAAGTTGTGTCTAATCATTGTAAAAGTGTGCAGTGTTAGCCCTAAGATCACTGTGTGTGTGTGTGTGTGTGTGTGTGTGTGGTGTGTGTGTGTGGTGTGTGTGTGTGGTGTGTGTGTGTGTGTATGTATGTGTGGTGTGTGTGTGTATGTGTGTGTGTGTATGTGTGTGTATGTGTGGTGTGTGTGTGTGGTGTGTGTGGTGTGTGTATGTGTGTGGTGTGTGGTGTGTGTGTGTGTGTGGTGTGTGTGTGTGTGGTGTGTGTGTGGTGTGTGTGTGTGTGGTGTGTGTGGTGTGTGTATGTGTGTGGTGTGTGTGTGTATGTGTGTGTGGTGTGTGTGTGTGGTGTGTGTGTATGTGTGTGTGGTGTGTGTGTGTGTGGTGTGTGTGTGTGTGGTGTGTGTGTGTGGTGTGTGTGTGTGTGGTGTGTGTGTGTGTAGGTCAGAAGATGACCTTGAACATTGGTCCCCAGGTGCCTTCTATCTTTTGATTGAGACAGTCTCTCATTGGCCTGGAACTTTGCCAAGCAGTCAAAGATAACTGGTCCACAAACTTCCAGGGATTCTCCGGTCTCTGCCTACCATATCACTATCACAGAGAACTCTGGGAAGTACTCAAGCACAACCATGAACATCTCATATCAGCAGAAGAGGACTAGAGTTGCCAAGACGCGTTAAAGCTGTGATGACGTTGGAGCACGTGACCCAGTGGGCTAGTTCCGGACTCTTTCAAGGAATACTTACCAACTCAGAGTTCACTTAAATAAAGTGAGTTCGTGGTAAAGAGTGGGTAGCGCCGGCCACGACAGGCCAGTGGATAGCTGGCTAGGGCGGCAGAGCCTCAAGGAATTGGGTCAGTTTGATGGAGTCATAAGGAGAATAGACAACATTCTGAACAGTGAGGGGGGGTGGGAATACGCCATTAGAGAGAAGGTTGGATCAAGGGGTGAGTTCTTAGGTTTGATCAGCTGTTTACGTAGCTGCAACTGTGTAGTAGACAGGCCTGGGACATTTTGCTGATGGCAATCAAAACCCAGCGAGCGTTGCCCCCTGCTTTGCTTTAGAGAAATGCAGTTCTGTGAGCTCTCTGGAGCCAACGCATGTGACTCAAGCACCAATCGCAAGTGCAGAATTGCGTGCACACTGATAGAGCTTACATGCGTGCACAGAGTGAGGTGTGCACACATTTGCTTCTGACTTTGGGTTATGTTTGGTTCAGACCTCTGTGTGCTCAATGATGGCACTCAGGACAAAGCTGAGGAATGGGGTTTTGTTGAGAATGGTTAGGTACCAAGCACCATGGTTTTGCCTGAGAGAAAAGATAAGGCACATTTATTCATAGTGGGCTTATAGACAGCAGAGAGATTTCAAAGACCCCTCCCTCTGACTTGGTGCTGATGGGCCCCAATCACAACCTGGCACCCAGCTAAAACTCCTCAGTAGGAAGACAGCTCCGAGACTGTTTGTACCAGGGCCTATCAGTGTCCCACTACAGTAGCCCCCCAGCAAAGTCCCCCAAGCGAGAGCTGTGTGAGTGAGTAGGGTTACCACCAAGAGGACAGGGTCAGCAGTGTGGCTGGGGCTGTGTTCAGTTGGTAGAGTGTTTCCCGGGGGTCCGTGAGCTGTGTCCCACCCTCTACACCACATAAACTAGGTGCCGTGGTGGACGCTTGCAATCACACCCTTGGGAGGTGAAGGCCGGAGGACCAGAAATTCAAAATCACCATTGGCTACCTCAGGTCCAAGGCCAGCCTAGACTACGTGAGGTCCTCATGCTCAGAATCTAAGATGCCCACCCCATGCCAAAGATATATGTAACTGTAAATGTGCAAAACTATGCGTTCAGAGCTCTTCATACAAGATGAACCTCATAATAGCCCTAGGTAGACAGACGCCTTCTGCATTTCCACGTGGTGGGGATAAAAGTCACCATGTTTTGTGGAGATGCGTTTTATAATATTGAGTGTGAACGCACGCACGCAAATAATGTGGTCTGGCTTTTTAAATAGCCCCAGCTGTTCCTCCGGGATCCATGAGGTGGTAGATAAAGTGGACAACAGTGAGCCCAGCTCAGCACCGTTCCTTACTAGAGAACAGCAGCGGTAGGAGCCCTCTAAGCCCGAGTGTATGGTCCCCGGTGTCCCGGGGTCTGGGATGCGGAGAGCTATCTGACTGATGTCTTCATCCGCCTGTGGTTTCCAGCCCTGGCGAGCATGCGCCACCCCTGCAAGCTTTGCCGAAGCCAGGCAACAGCAACAAGTGCTCGAGGTGTAGGTCCTCACCTACATCTGGCTGAGAATCCAGGAGCTGCCTTTAAGGCGAGGTTATGAAAAGTGGTACAGGGTTAGCCCCGAGAACTCCAGGTCCGTCGGGAATGCAGCACTCGCTCTGCTGGCTTCTGGGGAGGGACCGGCTGAGTGGAAAGCCAGGCTCAGAGTATTTGCCCTGTTCCCTTAGTGCAACTTGAGGTTCACATGGGAAACTCGACAGACCAGTCTTTTTAAGATTCCCTCTGAGGCTGAAGAGAAGGATTTTCCACTCCTCCCTTTGAAGTGGCATCACATCTAGACTCTAAGTCATACCTCGTGGGGCTGTGAGCAGCGGATCTGCCCAGGGGCACGAGCCTGCAGGGAGTTTGTGGCAGCTCCTCATCAGTCACCTGGCCGGAGAATGTTGTTTATGTATCAAACTACCCAGAGGGATGTCACGCGCTTTCTTTAACTTTATTTAAAAGTGTTGAGTTGGGTCTCTGGTGACGTTAGAGACAGGATGAAAAGCCATGTGGTCAGTATTAGATTGTATGCTCCTCTTACAGTGAGAAAAAGCACAGTGTTCCCCATTTGGAGCCAGGGAAAGAATCATGCCATTGTACAGGTTACTTAAAATTCCACACTGCCTGCCCGATTTGGGCCCAAAAAATGCTAAGAATCTGCAGCTGTTGCTCCGACAGGAGGCTTCTAACTAGGGCAGCAAACGCCACTCCACTCAGCTGTTGTTAATCTGGGATGGAGCATCTTAATTGCCTTTGTGTGGAGATTTATTAAATAACATTTCAGAGGGGCAAACCTATAATAGTCATATTAGTAGGAGGCTGAAATCAGGAGGCAATAATTGGAACACAGCATCTTTGCCTTGGAAGGCAAGTTGGAAAACATCTTTTCCACGTGACCAGTCATCCTAGGAAAAGAGTTTCCAGGTAAACACAAGCCACAAAAGCCCCGTGGCCTCACAGAGCTAGCTCATCTGTGAACCCCTCTTAGTCATGTTCCTAGAAGGACTTCTCCCTCTGAGTGTCTCCTCTTGTCCCCTTCCCCCTCCCCCTTCCCTTCCCTTACGACTGGAAGCAGGTCACTGCCGGAGGGCATGTGGCATTGGAGATGGCTGCTGCTGTGGCGGTCTGCCTTGTCTCTGCTGCCCTGTAATCGCAGCTCTCCGTCATGTCTGCCCATCCGTGCAGTACTGTGGGGCTGAAAGCAGCTAACTGAATGAGCAGAGGACAGAACACGCATATCCTTCCTGGCTTGTCTGCCCGAGCAAGGCAGGGAGCTTGAGAGGCCCTTCGGTTAAAGTGGGTCAGGAGCTGACATTCCTTACCAGCAAGTTCCCCTACCCAAGACAGTTGTGACTCAGGCTAGAATCTCAATTGTGTTTTGCATTTTTATTTCAAATGCTTCCCTTTCAGGAAAGCTATGATTAGGAGGCATGAACAGTGAGTACCAATTACGGACACAAGGACGACACCAAATCAATAAAGTAAACATAGTTTAGTTTTTCTCCGAAAGCTGGAGAACAGAAAGAAAAGGAAGGACCTGGCATTTGAAGCTGAGAACCAGAAAGACTGGGTGCTTCCTGGTCCCTTGAGGGAACCAGTTTGAAAAGATTTGTAACCGTGTAGATGGCGGTGACCGATGATGCCACACATCGGCATCCTTCCTACACACAGGATCAGAAGAGCAATGTGGGACTCTGAATTAGTCTGCTGGCTTTAAAGGACTGTTGAGTTGGTCAGGGTGGTTCCACTGAAAGTGGAAGGTGGTCTGCAGATGTAACTGCGTGGGAGGTTGGAAAACTTGTCCCCGCCCCGTCTGTAGGAAGGATGCTGAAGTATCCAGAGTGATGAGACCTGTGTGCCATCATCAGTCACACCGTCTTCATGCTCCACTTACAGACCTTCTACACGGTTACAAATGTTTGAAAACATGAGCAACAAGCAATAGCGTTTCTTAAGAATTCACTAAGTGCATGCTGGAGAGATGGCTCAGAGGTTAAGAGCACTGACTGCTCTTCAGAGGTCTCGAGTTCAATTCCCAGCACCCACATGATGGCTCCCAACCATCTGCAGTGACGTCTGGTGCCCTCTTCTGGCTTGCAGACAGAACATTGTATATGTAATAAATTAATTAATTAAAAGGAAAAAGAGTGAGGTACTGGAGCAACCACTGTCACTGTGTGTCAGTGTGTGATTTAAAAAAAGAAAAAAATCCCTAAGTGCAGGGTACTGTGGCCATTCTCTAACCCTGGAAGGTTCTGTGCCCCAGGAAAAGTCTGGGTGCTCCTGTCTCCAGGCCACACAGCAGGCTGAATTACTCTTCCCCATACATGCACACCCACACACGCGTGCGCACATGTCCACACACACACACACACACTTTCACTTGCTCACAACTGCTGTGCTTGCCTCAAAACCTGTCCCTTCATGGAGAGCTACCCCTTAAGGACTGGCCCATGTTACACACTGTGTGTCCGTCCATGGGTCCTGGCACAACTTTGGGTGCCATAAGACTCTGATACTTATCTGGTGAAGGAAGTACCACAGCTTACTCCCGTGGTGACAACACTAAAAACAGAACTGCACATACGTGTGGTCAGCTCTGCCCCTCAGACACAGAACTATACGCTGCACATACGTGTGGTCAGCTCTGCCCCTGAGCTGCACGCTCCATGTGAGCATACCACAAAGACCATCACATCATGGGAGTCATGTGAGCTGCTGCACTGTCCATTACAGACAGGGCACGGAGTCAGCCCAGAAGCTGCCAGAAGAAAATGTGCTGTGCTGAGGGCCAGAAACGTGCTTACCTTGCTAGCACAAGGGCCTGAGTTCAGTCTCCAGACATAAAGAATCCAGGGGTGGGGCCCAAGAGATGGCTTAGAGGGTAAGAGCACTAGATGCTCTCTCTTTCAAGGTCCCAGGTTCAATTCTCAACACCCACACGGTGGCCCCCAACCATCCATAACTCCAGAGTCAGGAAATATGACAGTCTGGACTCCATAGGCACCAGGCATGCACGTGGTACAGAGATATGCATGCAGGCAAAACACATGCACACAAAGAATAAAATAAATAAATCTTTTTAAAAAGTCCAGAGGGCCGGCAAGCAAGTTCAGCAGATAAAGCTGCCTGCCAGGATGCTTCAGGCTCTGACCTCAGTCCCCAGAACAGACCCCCCAGAAGTCCCTTGACTCCCATGTGAGCATCATGGCATGGGTGTAAGCACACAGACCTCCATGTGTGTGAGCACACAGACCCTCACGTGTGCACCATAGTGGGGAAAGCCAGAGTGGTGTGCTCAGAATCCTAGCGCTGGGAGGCAGAGAAGGGCAACCCCTGTGGCTTACTGAGCAGCCCCCCCCCCCAGTTTACCAGGAGAGTTCAGGGCCAGTGAGTGAGCCTGTCTAAAATACACGGACGGCAGGCATCGTTCCTGAGCGCGAACCTGGGGTTGTCCTCTGACCTGGGCACAGACATGCACCACCACACACATGAACATACACATACACGCACGAAGGAAAAATAAACGAAGACACTGACATGTATACTCATTTTGTCTCCTCGGCAGAATCTAGAATTCACATACGTGTTACATGCAAGTAGAAAGTTGACTGTTCGGGAAGAGGAGAGGACCAGTGTTGCAGGGGCGTAAGAGGGGGCAGGGGGCACGTGATAAACTTACAAAAAATGTCATCATGACACCATTATTTTATACAATGAATATCCACTAGAAAGAAATAATTATTATGTCTGCTAAAAAGAGGCAGTAGACTTGAGATGCATGCCTGACATATCTCCTTCCCAAGGTGGTCCTGGCTCTGGCAAAGGCACCCAGTGTGAGAAACTGGCAGGGAAATATGGATTCACTCAGCTCTCTACTGGCGAGCTCCTGCGCCAGGAACTGGCCTCCGAGTCAGAGAGAAGCAGACTGATCCGTGACATCATGGAGCGTGGAGACCTGGTGCCCTCGGTAAGCAGAGACCCGCCCTGCACCCCTGGCTAGATCGCCAAGACAAAGAAACCTTGAGGGCCAGGGAACAGCTTTGATTTCTGCCCTTGGTGACAGTCCTGAAGAGGGGTGGTTGATGCCAACAGTCACTTGTCTTCCAAGCTGTTCCTTGGCCAGTCACGTAAATGTCAATCTGGTTCCTGTGTTTCCAAATCCGGCCTCACTTTGGAGTAAAATCTTCAAACCCCAGGTGGTATGGAAAGCTAAAATGAGGAAGCCCAAGGACACAAAGTCTGTCGAGTAAGGATGGATTGATTCTCCCCATGACTGACGCTAGACTCACCTAGAAGAACAAGGTAATCTGTAGAGGCTATCTTGATTAGGTTCATAGATGTGAGAAGACGCAGCTTGACTATGGACGGGGCCACTCTGAGCAGGGGACCCTTGTCCTCAGAGCGTCTCCACTGCTGTGATAAACACCAGAACCAGAAGCCGCTTACAGGTGGAAACAGTTCGCCTGGGTCACAGGTCACACTCCTTTGCTGAGCTCAGCAAGGCAGGAGCTCGAGGACGGAGCCTAGACGCAGGAACTGAAACAGAGACCACAGAGGAAAGCTGCTGGCTGGCTTACTCCTCTAGCCTGATCAGCCTGCTTCCTTATATAGCCCAGGCCCACCACAGCAATCCACGATCAAGAAAACGTCCCTCAGACACGCCCTCAGGCCGATCTGATGGAGGCCCTTCCTCCGTTAAGGTTCCTTCTTCCCAGGTGTGTCTAGGTTTATGTCAAGTTGACAAAAAGCAGCCAGCGCAGTCGTGGGCTGTCTAGGATGGAGAAGGCAGGCTAAGCATATATTCACCTCTCCGCGTGCGTGTGTGCGTGCGTGCGTGCGTGCGTGCGTGCGTGCGTGCGTGCGTGCGTGCGTGTGTGTGTGTGTGTGTGTGTGTGTGTGTGTGAAGGCCCGAGCAGGATGTCCGGTGTCTTCCTCTATTGCCCCCCAATAGAGAGGATTTTGAGAGAGGATTTCTCACTGAACTTGCAGCTTACCCTTTGGCCAGCCTGGGTGGTCACGGAGCTCTTGGAATCCACTTGTCTCTGCCTCCCGATGCTGTGGGTGGCTGCTGTGCCTGGCTGTTTAATATGGGTGCCAGGGAATGTGAACGCAGGAGCTCATGTCTTCATAGCAAGAGCTCTTCCCAACTGTCCGCATGCCCCAAAACTTACATATTCCTCAAAACTGTCTATGACAGCGCCATTCCCTCAGGGCCCTCCGGGTGGGCTCTTCTCCTCAGGTCAGGATTTGCTGCCTCTGTGCTGGCTTTAGCCCCACCAGGCATTCTTGGCTCACTGGCTTCCAGCAGAGCTCTCCCTAAGTGCTACATCTTATCAAAGGGGCCACCCTGTGGCAAACAGCGCTCCTGGTACACGCCAGGCCCTTGCCCTGCTCGAATTGTGTGCCTGTTTTCCTTAGCTGCCGTATAACCGTTTGTCTGTCTTGTCTGTCTCCCACATTAGACTGTGACCTTGATGAAGAATCAACTCACAGTTATTTAGGGAAGGGTTCTAGCCATACCTGTGCCATCTGCGGCCCCCCCAGGCTCCTGCCAAAAACTAGAGCATGAGGACTTCAGCACCTCCTCCCACAGGCCTTTCCCCACGATGCACTTCCCTCCTGTTCACAAACTCTTGTCAAATCAGTCTTCTTGATGGGGAAATCATGCTGCTAGAAAATAGTTCTGCAATCTAAAAGTCTTCTCCAGTGAGCACGTGCCAAGTCCTGGGCACTGCTTCCTGGGGTGGGGGGACATCAGCTGTGAAGTATGTCCTGAGCGATTTTCATTTGCCCCTAGTCTGCCGTGATGCCTTGTTCATTCGCGGCTGCTGTGGGAGGCGGGGTTAGCGCGACTCATGGGTGTAAATGTTTGAAGGCCTTCAAACTTAGTTAAATAACAGCAGTAAGGACAGACAAACCCTCACCAATAGAACCATGGCCCAGACCTGACTGACAGACCCTCCTGATGGATGGATGTGTCGTTCTGTAAATGTGTTCCTCTTATCGGTTCATGAATAAAGTGTTATTTGGGGCTGGTGCGGCTGTGGGTCTGGCTGGCGGGAAAACTACTCATGATGCCCACCCACACTACCAGCATTGAGGAATCACGCCTACTGTGAGTTGGGGGTTGCAGCCCCGCGCTGACCACTCTTTCTGCCGTAGGGCATCATCCTGGAGCTGCTAAAGGAGGCCATGGTGGCCAACCTGGCCAACACCAAGGGCTTCCTGATTGACGGCTACCCCCGGGAAGTGAAGCAAGGTGAAGAGTTTGGACGAAGGGTGAGCTGATGTTAGAAGACAAAAAAGACCATCACTCAGCTGAGGGCATACGTGCAAAGCCTTCAGTTTGCCCAGCAACACTGACCACATCTTTCCATTGCGGAGAGCAGAGACATTTTTCAAAAGATGAAATATAGGAATAGGGCAAGAATGGCCTAGTGAGTAAGTCGTGGTCAGGCGTGCTGGGTTTTGGGTGCAGAACTACGCTGGTCGGCCCTTCCTGTCCATGTCCGGATTTCCTGCCCATTCTCTCCTAATCCAGGCCCATTTCTGTGGCCTCACAGGAAACTATTTCTGTAGGGGGTGGTGGCAGGACGTCCCACAAAAAAAAAAAAAAAAAAAAAAAAAAAAAACCCAAGGCTGTTTCCTTCTTCCTGAATCGCTGTGACAAGGGAGTAGAGTCTGCTGATAGATCCAGCAAGACAGCCAGTAGGGGGCACTCTACCCGAGCCACATAGCCCGAGACAGAAAGGCACTCACCCCCCCTGTCTCATTCCACTGGATTCTTTCGGTAAAGTGACCACTAAGAAAGGCCTCACGCCAAGGCAGTGGATTAAGCACAGAGGTTCGGTGACTTGCCCATGGCCACACAGCTGGGGACAATTGATGACAGGACAGAGGTTTGGGGGCACCAACTCCATCCCCTGCCACACGGATGACGGTGGCTAAACCTTGAGCTTCACCTGCCCTGGAGTCTGCTTTGTCTAGCTTCCATCAGGGCCTCCACTGCCTGTGCCCTCTTAAATGCACAGTCAAGGGACTGGAGAGATGGCCCAGCAGTGAAGGACACTTCCTGCTCACAGTTGCCACGAACTCAGACACAGGGTACTCAGCTCCCCCTCTGGCCTCCACCGGCACCAGGCATACACATGGTGTTCATCATAGAAGCAAAGAGGCACACACATACACTTATGCCAGAAAATGAAAATGAAGTATTCTTTTAAAAATAGAGTCAGAGAAAAGCATCGTGGTCCAATCGACAAAGGTGGACAGGGGTGGTGGATTCGTGTGGCCAAGCCTTGTGGCAGCATCCGTAAGTAAATGTAAGCAGCAACAGCAAAAAACAAGTAAACATCTGGGCAGATGACTGTAGCTGGCTTCTGAGTGACAGGCCGATGTCACAGCTACCTTTGCTGAGGTGGAAATAGTGTCAGCCATGCCCCTGCCTGGGTGCTCAGGGTGTGGAGGTCTTTCAAAAGTGTGTTCAGAGGTGATAGGACTCTCTTCTGAAAGCCCCAAGTTGTCCGAGGTAAGACATGTTGTAAATATGGGCATCTTTTACTTCCGCCTACTCTCCAGGTAAAAGCAACAGCAAAAGTATAACCTGGGTTCTTCATTTGGAGTTTTAAAAGCTAGATCTGGTGGCAAGTCCCAATGTGGAGTCACATGCCATGTCAGGCACCAGTGAGGATCTGAGGAGATACAGGCATAGCCAACCAGCACCCCATGGGCCACGTGTCCCAAGGCTGCTATAAATATAGCCCGCTGCGTTTATAGATGGCAGCATTATGTCACAGTTAAAAGGTGCGATGCCCCTGGATGTTTTTCCATGTCAGCATCCTCACTGGGGTTGGCTGCTGCGTAAGGGCATAGACAAGACACTGAGCTTGTCGCTCTGCCCACACAGCCCTTCAATACCCCATCATTTCTCCCCCTCCCTCCCCCCCCCTCCGCCTAGAACCCAGGGAGTGTGGGCCCAAGGCTCACCTCACTAGGGGAATTCCCTCCCACCGTGAGCAGCTTCGAGTCAGGTTTCAGACATGGCCTAGATGAAGCTCTCCCACCAGGCCTCACGAGCTGGAAGTGTCTCACCGGTGGGTGGCTGGAGCTTCGGAGCTGCGTTCACCACTGAACCAGTCACGGTCATGTCTGTTTCTCAGTAATCAAAATGTTATCATACAATCAAAACACAGTGTGCAAAATTCCCAAGAGCTGATAAAATTTTAAGAAAAATAAAAACCATGTAAATGGCTCAGGTCACTTCCAGGCTTAATTACTGTGTACCAGCTGAGTTCATGGAACAGTGCTCCAGGACAGTGAGGTCAAGCCTGTGGTTTACACCCAAGGAAACGACCTGGCAAGGAGGCTCTTAGACGGTCCACTGTGAGGATCCTTACCATGTTACCATCCATGTCACCATGGATGCTGGTAGCATGCAGGCGCTGGTTCAATGTCAGGTGCTATGCCAGAGACCCCACTCCTAACAAGCGCCGAGCCGTGTGCTGGAGATCCCACCCAAGCTGCCTTGGGCATGGGAGCAACCTCTCGGCCGCCTCTTACAGTTTCAGGGCTGGCACCAGACTAGATAGAAATAACCTCTGTTTATGACTAAGTGAATCCCTGAGCTGTCTTTGCTGTTCCCAAGAGCAAGCAAGCCTGGCAGACACTCTCTCTGAGCGAGTTAACGGAACCACCACCTGCCTCCCAAGCTCGCCCTCTGCTGGTGAACTGGGTTATTTTTTTTCGGAGTACCCTAACCCTCACCATGCACAGATGAGCTCTTCAAGGCTGTTGTATCCCATCTTCAGAGCAGGGCAGCTAAGGCTTTGCACACCCACTGCATGGCAGGCAGTGCACCAACATTGCCCCACTTAACCCTCCTAGCGAGCCTGGTCTCCCCACGGTCCTCATGGGGTTCAAGGTACAGCCATATTAGGCAGTTTAAAAGGACAGTTTGTTTTGTTTTGTTTTTACCTCTCACAGTTCTGCAGCTTGCTAGGCTCAGCTGGTGGGTTCTCCCACGAGGTCCCCAGGATTGTAAGAGTCGGATACTGGGTAAAGCTGGGCATGTGTTGGGAGCCGGCTAGCCTGGCATTTCTACTGACATGGCCTCTCCTGGTGGCTAGCTGAGAGCTTCTCACTGCTTGATGCCGTCGGAGTAGTAAGACATCATAAAAAGTAGCTGCTTTCCCCATATCGAGTGTTACACAAGACCAGACAGAAATTGTGGTTTCTTGTGGCAAAATTATATGCATACCAAAGGAAGCAGGTTAGGGGGCCCTGCCTCACCTCCAAAAGCAGGCAGCCTCCCTTCCATCGCCCCAGAGTCACAGGGCGACACAGAAGGCTGAGGTCAGTACCTCCGTGGAAGAACAGCGTGCAGGTGAAAGATGCCAAGGGATGAAGCTCTTACACCAGACGCTGGTCCTAACAGCCTGACTCCAGTCTGTACCTGCTTTGCTAGCTGTGCTCCCTAACTCCATGGAATAGCACAGGGTGTTCTTGGTGGCTGGAATAAGACACGGTGGTGGCATGAAGGAGGAATTATCAGGTCAGAGAGACCTTGACATAGGGAACAACAACCACATACATGCACACGCTTGTGTGTACATATGCATCACACGCATGCACTTGCATACACACACATGTATATACACACACACAGCATGCATGGGCACACAGGCATGCACGACACACAGGCATGTACCGACACACATACAGGCATGTGCACACCCTTGTCCTGGGTGTAAAGGACATGCAGGCTGTACCGGCCAGCTTGTAATTACTGCATTTGTGAAGTGACCAGAAAGTTGAACAAGACAGAGCTCTGAGGCAGCAGGTGGTGAGGGTCACCCTGGAAATAAGAAGCCACGGGGTCCAGTGTCATCTCACGGGGTCCAGTGTCATCTCACGGGGTCCAGTGTGGCACTGGGCACTTGATAGGCGCCAGCAGCCCCCGGAATGGAAGGCCTTAGACCTTTTTCACAAATCCAACTGACCATCTCTGCTCCTCTCCTTCACCCCAGATTGGAGACCCACACTTGGTGATCTGCATGGACTGTTCAGCAGACACCATGACCAACCGCCTTCTGCAGAGAAGCCGGAGCAGCCAGAGCGGGGAGGACACAGCCAAGACCATCGCCAAGCGCCTGGAGGCCTACCACCGAGCATCCATCCCTGTCATCGCCTACTACGAGAGAAAAACACAGCTGCGGAAGGTGAGCCTCGCCTCCTCCAAATGAGCCGCTTGCTCTTTTCTTTCGAGAGCAGAGAGAAAGTGGAGGCGAGCGTTCCCACGAGACCCGGGGAAGCTCAGGCACTTGCAAGACTGAGACCAAATTGCTCTCTCCCCTTGCTATTGTCTCAAAGTTGAAAGTATGTGAACGTAAGAGGAGGGATGACCATGTGCACACGCCTTTAATCCCAGCACTCAGGAGGCAGAGGCAGGTGGATCGCTATGAATCTGTCCAGCCTGGTCTACAGAGCCAGTTCCTGGCTAGCCAGGGAGAACCTGTCTTTAAAAAAAAAAAAAAAGTTGAGTATCGGTTGCAGATGACCATAAGAAGTTGGTCATTAATTAATAGCAGGTGCCATCGTAGTCCCTGAAATTTCTTGTTTCAAATGACGGACAGCAAGATCAGGGCCTAAAGCACAAGCTGAAATCCCAGCCACACGGACAGCTCGTGTTCAATAAGCTCTGGGCAGGTTACTGAGCCTCTGTCTCAAGGTAATGAGACTGAGGAGCTAGGGATGCAGTTCAATGGAGCACTCGCCTAACAGGCACGAGGCCTGGGGAGCACTCGCCTAACAGGCCTGGGTTCAATCTCCAGGATTGAAAAGAAAATGGGGGGCAGTGGGAACTGGAGTAAGCTTTCTACCACCAACTGTAGGTGGCGCTAGACCTCAGCTAAATAGGTTGGGCCAAAGGCAGGACTCTTCTAGACCCTAGAGTTAACACCTTTGGATTCTGGAATTCACACAGGCCATGATTGGCACTTGGCTCTCACTGCTTTTCCAGAAGACCTGGGTTCGCTTTCTAGCACCTACATGGTCACTCACAACCATGGAACCTGACGCCCTCTCCTGTCCTCCAAGGGTACTGCATACACATGGTGCACAGATACACATGCAGGAATACAACTGTACATATGGAGACAAAAAATTAAAGAATCTCAGGGCTGCAAAAACCTTAGTAAGGTTAAATCACTGGGAACTGGGAAGTTCCCCCACATGACTTAGCCTTACCTGCTGCCCAGGGATTGTCCAGGTAGATTGTCACTCAGTATGAGACGGGGGGGGGGGGGGGGTAACGCTGGGTGTGATCTAGTTTATCATTTCAGAATCAGAATCTCTCTCTTGAATTACCTGAATGCATCCTGCAGACTCACGAATGAACGGCTCAATGGCACCAAACTAATAGTGTTCTCAGGGAAACCTGTGTTCGCAAGCCTTACAACTCTGTTCCTCTCCAAGAAGCCAAGTTCCCAGGCCCCTGTGGCTCATCTCTCAGGCTTCCCCTTACTGGGAATGCCGGCAGCTGGATCCACAGAGAAGCGATATTTATCATCTACTGCGGCAGTACTGAAAGTGGACGCTGCTTGGTTCTGCTGCCTCGACAGGTCCTCTGGGTACCTGCCAAACCAGATCTTACAACTCCAAGCCTGAGATGTGTGTGAGACACGGAAATATTGCACGGCATCTGCTTCCTGTGTTAGAATGCAAAGGGGCACCACACAGGCTCTGCGGGCAACTGCCATCAGCGCCGCACATAGATGAGCTAGCCCAAGGGAGCGAGAGCTAGTCCACAGTGGGCGAATTTACTCTAAATGAGTAGCTGGGAAAGAAGCATTTGTGAAGAGTGCCCACACTGAGCGAACACTGCTGGGAACACTGGCCTGGGTGTCCAGACACGGGGTGGAAAGTCCCAGGCCTGACTTGGGGACCTCGGTGAGTCATCTCCCTTACAGAGCTTTCTGATGTAAAGTGGGCTGGTGGCAGCTGCTGGAATTCTTCCAGGCCTTTAGTCTGTGATCCGTAGTGGGGGAAAGCTTCCCCCATAGTTTAAAGCAATACAAGCTCATTGTTGAAAATATAGAAAACCAGTTTCTGAGTCCCACCACCCACCCAGGGTGAACAGTGTTTTAGATTTGCTAAATCTAGAAGCATCAAAAATGGACCTTAGAATTAAATATGAATGCCGGGCATGGTGATACATATCTGTAGCCCCCAAACTCAGGAGGCATATACGGTCCGAGGCCAGCCTGGGGGTCGTAGCAAGTTCAAGACCAACTTGGGCTACAGACTCCTTGGGTCCAAACAAAACACCCCACAAAACCAGGCTCTGCACTGTAACTTGGTTCTGTCTCAGTGCTGTACAGCTATACACAGAATCATCGAGATTACTCTGTGGGCTGAGACGCGCAGAGGAAAGCGTTGAAGTAACCTGGGAGGAACCGGAGGAGAAACTGAGAGGCTCTGGCTCAAACCGTTCCTTCTTTCGCTGTGCTCCACTGTGCAAACCATCAGCTCTCACCGAACACTGCCTGCCCTTAGAAAAGAGGCTGACTGTGTGCCTATGGGTGTCACTCAAGCAACTGCTCCACTCGCCTAATGAGGATGGCTGCTTTCTACTGGGAAAGCCCGACTGGCCTTTGGACAGAAGCAAACACCACAGCATGAGTCTCCAGGGAACAGTTTTTCTTTAACAACAACAACAAATCCTTGTATTTAAACCATGTTGCCAAATGAAGGTGGCAGTACATAGAAACTGAAGTGGGCAGGGTCCTAGGAAACCTCCGAGGTCCAGCACCAGCTAGCCTTACCAGCTGACCTTACACTCACACACTCACACACACACACACACTCACTCACACACTCACACTCACACTCAGATACACTCTCACACACACTCACACTCACACACAATACACCCACACTTACACACACAATACACATACTCACACACTCACACACATACACACACACTCACACACTCACACCACATACACACACTCACACTCACAATAAACACACACTCACTCATTCACATACACACACTCACACACACCACATACACACACTCACACCACATACACACACTCACACACACAATACACCCACACTCACACACAATACACACACACTCACACTCACAATAAACACACACTCACTCACTCACACATACACACACACCACATGCACACTCACACACACTCACACACACACACTCACCACACACTCACACCAGTTTGAGTCTGACTGGTCAGGAGCTCCCAAGTATTGCCCTTCAGAGCGGCCATTCAATGGCTTTGTGTGGAAAGGTCACCTGGCTTCCATGAGATCCCTTAGCTCCCTGTGACGCCCACCAGACAGAAACAGGCTGCCCTCCACCAGCCCGTGTGGGAGAGAGAGATGCCACTCAGGGCAGTCTTTCAGCCAGCTGTTCTGAGTCTACCTGCCTGCCAGACTCTGGGGATACAATGCTGAGAAATGATCCTGCCCTCAAGAGCAACTACCCAACTGAATAATGATGACAAGTCCTGCTCAAACTGTGGGCATGCTCTAGGACATTCCCATCTGTGAGCTTCTTATATAAATCAGTTTAGCAAATGCTGCTAAATCAGCATGCCCCCATCCCTACCACGGATAATTCCGCACCCCATCATCTACCAGGGACTGCCTCATCATCCCAGCTTATCCCAGTCTGTGACAGGATAAAAGTTGACCTTAAATTTTCTAGGTGTGGGAAACCCCTGACCTTCCTGCCTCTACCTGCCAAGTGCTAAGATTATAACCCAGGCTACCATACTTGGCTTCCACCGTGGCTTGTCTACTGCAGGAACCGTTCGGTGGGGTTAGCTAGCAGACATCCCTTGCTAATGTTTCCTGCCTTTTAGTAATAGATTTCCTGGCCTCCACTTTGCTTCTTGACTATAAATTGCTACTTGCCCATGCTGTATTCAGACTCGACCTACTTACCTCTCTTCTGCAAAATCCCATTGCCAGGGACCCTACAGCCATCCCACAGCCCTGAACTAAGAAACACAGGGTACAAACCTGCATGCAGCCCTTGCTCTCTGAAGGGACACAGGGCTGGTGTGCACGCCACAAACGCTTTCCTTTTTAAAGACAGATAGATGCCTGGTGGTAAACACTTTTAATCCCATCACATGGGGAGGTGGAGGCCAGTTTGGTCTACATGGTGTTTCAGGCCACCTGACTTGACACAGTGAGACCCTGTCTCAAAGCCAAGCCAAGCCAAGCCTGACTGGTTTGAGCATCTGAACAAAAGTCGTCTGCTCAGCTCCACTCCCTCTTTGTATCACTAGATACAGTTCCAGCAGGCCAGGTGCCCAGTCAATGCCCTGAGACGCAGTGGGGACAGCAGGCTTCGGTATGCGATTAGGTACCATCACCGCTAATGCAGGACGCTCTGCTTTCAACTCCCGTCCGTTTGTTGCAGGGTTCCAGCGCCCGCCTCTGTGCTCTCCAGGAACCTTTGTCTGGGGTTTCACAGGACTGCTGCACACACTCTTTGCAGCCCACTCTCCACTTAACCCATGCCCAACCATCCAGTCACCTTAAACTAGTGGACGAGTATCAAACTTCAGTTCTGCGACCTGCCCCTACCTTGTCATTTCCCTGGCCATGTGAGCCGTATTTCAGTCACCTGCCCTTCAAGCCACTGTTATTACTTGATTACCTAAGCATCACATGTGTCGTTTTACTAACCGTCTTTATCTTTAGAGCGCCACAGTCCAATAGGACACCGATGGTGGCCATGGCTTCGGTTACCATCACTGACCTGTGTGCAGTTTCATCAAGAACAGCAGTTTTTCAAGTGGTTATTGCCCCTGTCCATCAACTTCCCTCAAATAAGCAGGGCTATCTATGTCCAAGGCATCCCAGCAGCATCACTCTGGCCTCTACAGAGCTTCTGGCGATCAGACCTCTGCCTTCTGAAGACATGTGTGAGAACGATCTCCAGCGGATGTCCTGACTGGAAGTCCAGGACACCACCGGCTCGCATCTGTCGCTGGCTTTCTATACTGGTGTATCCTCTATCCCTAGCGACTCTGCCCCTAGTCCACATGTGCACAGTGTGGGCCTACCCTTTGCTTTGTCCTCCACACCCCTGCTAGCACCTGCCCTCTAATCCAGGCTGTATTTCCACCGTGATCTAAGTGACCCAGTACACTGGGAGCTCTTGCGGGAGCACCAAAGTGTCCACTGACTTCTAACACTTTCAGCACGCCCTCGGCTTGCTGCTTGGATGGCCTTTCTGCTTTAGTCCACAGACGAAGAGTTCTCAGACACCCCATCCTCAAAAGCAAATCACTCCAGCTATCAACATCACTCAACAGACATCCACTTGCCACAACTGATGAACCTGTGCTTGTCACCCACAGGCAGGGGTTGACATCAACACCTTAGTGTTGTACACTGTGTGCTGACCTCTGTGATGTGGAGAGAGGCTGCTGTAAGGGAACTTGAAGGAAGCAAACCATCTCCCTAGTGGCTGTAACACTTTTCTCCCGTGTCAGCCATTGAGAGTTCTGGTTGCTTCATACCCTAGGCAGCATTTGGTGGCACCAGCCTTGGGGGTTTGGGACATTCTAATAAATTCATAGCGATGTTCTCTTTCACCTAGGGATAAAACGGTAGATTTTGAAGACAGGGTTTCACTATTCAGCCTTGGCGGGCCTAGAGCTTGGTATGTGGGCCAGGCTGGTCTTGAACTCAAGAGATCCGCCTTCCTCTGCACCCTGAGTGCTGCCACTGGATGTGTGAGCCACCACAAAAGGCACTTGCTTTCCAAGTGATCACTTCCCACTCCGTAGTCTCTGTAAGTTTGGAGGGTGAGCACAGTTTAAGTTTGCTGAGCAAAAGCAGGTAATTGTGTTTCGTTATTTTAAGAAATGGCATTTACAAGCAGGCCAGGGGGTTAATAACTAACAAGTCTCTCTCTCCCTTTCAAATACAGGTAAACGCAGAGGGAACACCAGATCAAGTATTTCTTCAGCTCTGCACAGCTATTGACTCTGTTTTCTGAAGAAAATGTGTAACTGTTAAGGAAAGTAGAGACAAGGAAACATGAAATTCACCCCTTAAACACATTTCCCTTTGTCCCCACCCATCCCGGCAAGCTGTTTCCTTCCCAGCTCGACCCACGTGAGCGTTATCTGGAAGCCATGCATGGGATCTTTGGGACTGTCCACCTTTTCCTCCTGTAGACAACTATTCCCTTTGGTACTTGTCTGTCACCAGGCTGTACCTCAGAGCAGTGTGGGATTTGTCTGTGCTAGCCGTGCCCCAGGGCGGCCTGGAGTCTGACCCATCCATCATCCAGAGAGAACATATCCCTAATTCTACATCACATCTCCCTTCTGCCCATTCATTTGCTTCTCCCAGAAATGTTTCCAAATGAGACACCAACCAGCTTCTCTGAGAGCAAAACGGGAATCAGAAGCTAACACACCTGAGCAACTGTGCAAACCATCTGTATGTGGTGGTACGCCTCAGCAATTCCATGTTAGTACCAGAGATGGGAAGTAATCCAAAGCAGAGGAGATGACTGTTACTTCAGTCACTGGACAAAGCTATCTTGTTCTGACCTGAGACAACGACCTGTCTCCCAGTGCTGGGGACGGGGACAGGCTGCTGCACGGGTCTCCCAGTGCTGGGGACGGGGACAGGCTGCTGCATGGGGGTCTCCCAGTGCTGGGGACGGGGACAGGCTGCTGCACGGGGGTCTCCCAGTGCTGGGGACGGGGACAGGCTGCTGCACGGGTGTCTCCCAGTTCTGGGGACGGGGACAGGCTGCTGCACGGGTCTCCCAGTGCTGGGGACGGGGACAGGCTGCTGCACGGGTCTCCCAGTGCTGGGGACGGGGACAGGCTGCTGCACGGGTCTCCCAGTGCTGGGGACGGGGACAGGCTGCTGCACGGGTCTCCCAGTGCTGGGGACGGGGACAGGCTGCTGCACGGGTCTCTCAGTGCTGGGGACGGGGACAGGCTGCTGCACGGGTGTCTTGCGCCTCCTGTGTTGTGTGTGTTTCATAGGCCTGCTGCTCCATGGGTAAACACTAGCAGTGAAGTGTGCATCTTTTGTACCGAGTTGAACTGGAGCTGCTATCTTCTGAAATACCTGCATCTTACACTCAACACGCAGTTCGGTTTGCATGATTCTTTTCCTCAGTGAGTGTGCAAATACAGAACGGTTTCCAGGACAGAACTGTATTTTTAATATCATTATTTTTTCCCTCAAAACAGTTATGTACAAATGAAATAAATGGAAGCCAGGATAACTCTTTCTCTATTTATTTGCAACTCACATCGTTCTGGAAAGCCTTTGGAAGCTTTCATTCCAAACAGAAGTAAACACAGTAAGAGTTTAAAATTATGATCCACTTATATGTTTCAACTTTGGCCACAGACCAGATCTGAGCTATTACAGAGAAATCGTTAATGTATTCATGACACACCATCATTTCCATATTTCTTTTCCCCTAGCACTGGTACCTAAACAGAAATGTCAGTGCGTGTTAGACAAGAAATTGAGTTTCTTTGGTTACAATTAGGCCTCTATTACCAGGAAGGGTGCAACACGTTCTCAAATTCAGAGCTGTTGAATGCTCACACGACTCCAAGCTGTCACTCTCTTGGCAGGTAACATGAATACGTATCCAAAGGCGAAAGTGCTGCTACAGGGTAAAAACAGTCTCCAGACACAAAACACACAGCGGCAAACGCTGGCCCACAGCTGCGCACGGGGACATGAGGCAGCAGACACGCAGGCCAGGGAGCCCGGGGTCCCACAGCTGCTTTGGAAAACTTCAACAGAAATCAGTTTTCCAAAGAACAGCTAAAGCACACATTGCTCTTGTGAATGGTTGCAAGTGACACCACTATGCTAAAGCCATAGGATTTTAAAACATCCTTAGCAGTTTCTGCCTGGCAAAAGGCTGTGCGTGTATGTGGACCTCAGAGCACAAATGTAAACTCCCTGGCTATAACCTATGTTATAGCCCTCCCCAAGGCCATCAACTGGACTTTCCCTCGCATACATCTGCCTCAAGCTACCCTGCCTGTCTTCAAAATGGCTGAGCGAACCAAGTTCTACACTGGCTCTGGGCACCCTCTTGCCTGTCCCTACAGCTGACCCACACAGCTAGTTCCCATACTCCAAGGTCATTACCCTTGTTCTTCATAGCCCTGTATTCTTTTTCTTCAATTACTTTCTTTTATTTAAGAGGTATTTAAGCTTGCTTACACATTGCTGCCTTCTGTGTTAAGTCTATAAGCTTCACAAAGGCCTGGCGTTTCTATGGAAGGAGTCCTCAACACACCTCTTACTACCGAGGGCTAACGTGTTTTAATTCCCAGTGCCTTCCAGGTTCCCACTCCATGCACTTAGCACAATCCAGTGACTAGGTCCTAGGACTCAATCAGAGGTTCTCCACTTGCCCAGCTGTGACTGAGACCCACACAGGACAGAGTCACACTCATGCTGAATGACCTGACTGGCTGAACCACACACTACAAGTACAGTTCTCTAGGGTGTGTCGAGGGACCTCCTCCTCTGAGGAGTTACTGGTGACTCATGGATTGGGCCCCACCACCAACAAGAGAATCTGTTAAAATTTCAGGGCCTAGAGGCACAGACACGGACTGCATTTCAGGCAGCTCAATGGGGCACAACTCTCAGAAATCAACCCATTTAACAGATACGTAAGCCCTGTAAGCAAGGCAATGGGTTTCAGTTTCCTCTGGGATCATACGAATAGAAATTTACTCTTCCACTGAAAACCAAAAACTTTATAGGCTTAAGAAGGACAATGCACTGGAGATGGTGGTTTCTTCCAGAACAATGGGATTAAACTTGGCTATCCACAGCAAGAAAGTTCATTCAACCTATCTCACATGGCTGTAAGGGAAATTGCACAAACAAGACTTAGCTATTACAGCAGCAACCCACTTCCTGTCAGCCTTTTAAAGTTGTTCCCTTACCTCAGTAAACTGTGTTCTGTGATTTACTGTAAGTAAAAGGAGGAAGGGAAGAGTCAAGGAATCCTATGGGGCTGGGTAAAAGGCCACGGAGATGCATGTGTGGTCCTGTGACTCACAACGGTAGGGTGCTCTGGTGCATTCTCCAGCCACTCACAGGCCTCTCTCCCGGGCAATACACAAGGGAAGAGGCGTGGGAAACACAGGGATAAATCCGAGACAAGACTCATCATGCCACTAACAATAGGACCCTGGGTGAGTCATTTCATTTCTTTCTGGCTAGGTCTCCCATGAAAACGGAGCAATAGACGAACCTGCCTCATTGGGCTGAGGTTCCAAGAGTGCCACAGGCTTGTTTTGTGCACGTAAGTGCTCTGTCAGCATTTGCTCCTGGTGCCAGCCCCTAACATCAGAGCAATGGCTTTCGGTGAGTTATTAGAGTAGTAGCAAATAGCGTGAGCATCATATGCCACAAAGTAAATGTGACCTAATAAGACACCTGACAACAACTGCCCCTCAAGCACAGCTGTCAGCAGCCAGTATTCCCTGTGCAGACAGAAGGTGGTCTCACAGAAGAGCACTGCGACCTCTGTAAGCCTCAACAGAAACACAAGAAAACATCCCATCAAGCCATAGGGATGATGTGCTTAGAGCTGAAAAATCCAAAGTAACTACACCTTCTGTCCAAACAGGAGACACCCACACCGCTACCTCAGTCTCAAAGCCTTTGCCTTTGAAAATGCATTACGGTGAGTCTGTCTACTCTGCTGATCTATCACTTATATCCCTTCCAAAGTGTATTTCAAGTTTCATGGGGTTTTGGATGGATACGAACTGCTCTCCAAAACTATCTGGTACTATTTCTATAGACAGGTCTAAGTGTCCTGCATATTACAGACAGAAGGCGGCCCTCTGGCATGTGCACTGAGCATTTAGTATTCAGACACCTAGTTTAAGTATCTCTCCTTCACTGAAGACCCAGAGATAAAAGCCTGACTACTTTTCTTTCTGAGTACGATAGACTGCATCAATATGACCAGTGTTACATAATCAATATATTATTTAAATTTCTCATTTCCACAGTTAAAATTTTTCTTAATTAAAAAATTCAGGGTAGATTTTACCTTGCTAAGTGTTGAAAGGAATTAGTAAATAATGTTCCCTGAACTTAAAAACAGGACAAACAAACAAACAAAAAAAAGTTAAAAACAAGACTAGTATAATACTTAATCCACCATAGAAGATACTACCTTTTCCTAGTTGGTAATTTTATGGAAATCACCTGTTTCTACACATGGGTACTTAATTTTTGTCAGGATAGAACTGCCTGGATACACATCTGACTTATACTTAGGCTCCCCATGTGCTCATGAGTGAGCACCCTACTGTGAAGGGTCTCAGCATGCTCGGCGAGAACACTAACCCTCTAGCAGGTTGCAAGCTCACGCTCTTTTCCACAATACACTCTTCACCCTTTAAAAGAACAGAAAGCAAATACAGAGGAAAGACTTAAGTGAAAAATTATAGTTTTAACACTTGTTGAAAAAGGAAGCCACAACAAGCATTCTATAATATAAACAAACAAATCCACATAGTTTATTTCTCACAGTTCTCCCGACAAATGAACATTATTCAAGAACATACTGTATACACAGATAAGAAACATACAAAATGTTTTAAATGATGCACAACAAAATCCAGCAGTATAAAAGAATGCTTGTGAACTCTCGCTCACTGTGCAGACTACATTTAATCACTCATTAAATAGTAATAAAAATACAATCTTTTATGGATCTTGTGCAGACTACAAAAGAGGGAAAAATTATCACCATATATATGATTTTTATATTAGGCAGTTTTCTTTGACGAGTTGTACTGACAACTCCAAATACAGAGGCAGAAGGCTGTGTATTTTAAAGGGATTAATGTTGTGAACCAGACTTTACACAGTTACTACCACTGGCACTTTTCACCATAGTCTGTACACATCACATGATCATCTTATATAACATGACATTTAAAAAATATATCTGCGTGACAACTTTATAACATTCACACCCCATGAGC